TCTACATCGCGGATCACAAGCTACTGCACTCTGTGCATTGAACTAGTAAAGTTAACTGATTGCTTAGCCTGGACCATTACGGAATGATGTTGCTGGACCACTCTCAAGTGACCCAGAAGACACCCAAGCAACACATTCCCTTTTAAATGTTTCCAAACACATTTATAACATAAATACGACATCAGTATTCATCAAATCATTAGCGGCACATATTACTTGCCCATAAAGAAAGTAGGAGATATTTCCCCATGACTTTGTTACAAACAAAACTCGGGAATAAGCATTAGTCAAGTTACTGAAACTAATAATATACTCAGAAATCAATGTACATACACCTGATAATTGTGTCTAGAAGGACAATGAAAGCTTCACGATTAAACCATCCACTTCAAGCAATGAAAGTAATAACATGCAATGAAGTTAGAAGTTCACTATAACAAACAAATTAAATCTTATTCCATTTCATTCACCATGTATAAACATATGTTGATTGAAAAATCAATTCCACTACTATTTCTCTTGTCAATTAATTATCTGTCGTAATGTGAATAATTCACAATATATGGAAATTGTTTTATTAGATAAAAGTAAGTGAGCAATAAAAAATATAAGGCTACTTCATATACATGTTATTTACAAAAACTGTGAGAAAAAAACGTTTAGATTTCATCATATCAAGACACTTTAGATTATCATAGTTGCATGGAAGTGAATATTTGGTTCATGTGATCATTGTAACCAATGATTGGATATATTATGGCGTAGAATCAGTTGCATTAAGCCAAATGATTTCAACCTCTGAATTCCTGAAGATCATAAACTTTGAGTATTATCTCACACTTTTTTATTCCACAAAATTTGTATCCTTTTCTTGTTTAATTATATTTTGCATCTATAATCTTTTTCATAACCACTAATATCATTATGAGTCTTACTGATTCAGTATACATTTTGATAATTTCATCTCACAATGTTGATAAGAAACAGAGCAATCACGACTGATGCATGATGCCATATATCTGCCAGACTCTATGACGCTGTTCACAACTGACTAACTGCAAGCTGAATGTTACGAACACAATATACCACCAACCACTATTAACGATATAAACAAAGCATAAATAGTCAATTAATCGTTCAATAAAGACAGAAAATTATAATACACCATCAATTCACAATCTTATTTATACATACTGTTCAATTCAATCTCTGCTTCCTGTTCTCCATGTTTCATATCATAATTCAATGATAAAACATTATTCATCCATGAAGAATATTGATCATTTACATGTGTAGTTAATTCATGTTTCAATTTTGTCATAGCATCGATTATGGACAAAATCATTTTGTGATAAAATTCTAGACATACAGTGCAACTAGAAAACAAAACACGAGAAATCATTAGCTTTTACAGTTTATGATCACCATGTATTTTTCTTTATTATAATCTTCTTACTTCTACTTAATTCCTTCTTGTCCGACAGAATGGTATAAAAATAATAGCTAATTCGTACTTTAACGTTATCCACGACTGATTGATTGATGCCATTTTACGATCAGAAACTTACTTGATAACTAGAAAAACAATATTGTCACCGATTGAATATTGTACATATATATTTTGAAATATAGTTTGAATCTGTTGACTAACAGTCAGTGACATCCCGAACAGATAATATGTATTGTTATGGCACTTTTAGTTGATCTATAACTTATTTATGGGTACATAAGGATGCAGTGACCGGGTATGAGTAACATAGTTTCAGTCAATAATGATAGTTATGTGATAGGAGCATTATTCCAGCCAGTATTGTTTGCTATGGTAAGCAGTCACTTGACAAGCATAATACATGCCAAGTTCGTCTTAGTTGATGAAGCTTTATAGTCATCGTTTAACGTTAACATTGCTCAGTCAATGGTTTGATTATAAGTAAGTAATGCTCAAAAGACATCTATGGTAAATTATGTACAAATTTTCTGCCTTTGTAGGCCACATTTCACGTCCATAAAGTAAACCGAGAGAGGTACAAAACAGTATACCCATGGTCCGATTGGTATACTAAAATTTTATATGAACCACAGCATAAGGGTGCTTGCTGTCTACATCACTGTGGTAATTCCATCACTTACTAACACATTAGAGTTTATTGGACTTTCGATAAAGAAAACGGTCAACCATTCACACTAAAAACTAAGAACCAAACTAGAGTTTAGATGAAACCATTTTAAATGACATTCTACTTTCAGGAGACTTTTGATTCGGCCAACTAACCTCTAACAAACTACAACCTCAACATTGGACTATTTGAATGTTGGTCAACAAATATTTGCAACACTTCACCATTCGATTCAAAATGGCTAAGATAAAATGTACTGCTGAAAAATTTGATCATTCAATTTTCCAAAAAAAACGATTTATTAGTTTAAGTATTTCAACCATAAATGTTTATGTTACATACTATTTACTAAGCATAAAAACGAAGTGAAAAAAACAGGAAATATTATGCAAGTATAATTTTGGAGGCGTTCGTTACGGATACACTAGAATGAAGTCGAGTAACCTAATGAAATATCCCTAAAGATAAGGAGTGCTTATTTTGAGTACAACAACCGATTAAACGTTAACATTGAATTCAACTAAGTAATATTCAAATGAAAAGTATATCAGCTAGTTTTTATTTAAGAAAAAACTAATAGAAGTAGGTCATGCTTAAATAGTTAAGCAAATAGATTTTACAATTGAGAAAATATCTTTTCAACCATCACAATCCCTAGCGATAATATACACAAGGTCATTAAAATAACCCGACAATTTTTTTCAATATCAAACAATTATTACTGGTCTGCAAACTATGTGAACAATAGTTTAGAGATTATAAAAATTAACAATTATTAAAAGCAAAAACTAAGATTGCTCTGTACTGACAGACAGATAAATACAACACAGAACTTCGTACGCATGTACATCAGTTCAGGTTGCCACACCCCATTAGCACAGAGACGCAACTGTCACTTCATATTCCATAGTGGCATATATAGTAGAAGTATTAGCAGTAGTAGAGAAGATTAGGGTATAATTCAGTGAGATTACTTTATAAAGAGAAAGACAGAGGTGATGAGGAATTCGGAAGACGAGAATTAGAGAGAACACAAACAGTGGATACGACTGCGCCATTGCAAACGATTTTGAGCCATGTTGTTTAAGGTCTGTAACCACTGGTGACTTCCGACTCGCGGACCCCAACCAGGTAGCCTACATCTACCAACATGACTCAGTCCACTTGTCAGTAACTTCATGGATTTCTGGTGTGTTTTGGTCTGGCCGCCTCTACCTTTCTTCCTACTTACTCCTACACCACAAAACACAGCTCTTCGAGGCAGTCGGTGGTTAGGCATACGCAACACATGTCCCAACCACCTCAACTGATGCAGTTTTACTACTTCATTTAGTGGTCTGTCGCCCTTACCTAGCACTCGTTTCCTAACAGCATTGCTCACTCGGTTGTCCCGGGGTACACGAGCAATGCTTCGGAGTCACCTATGATCGAAGACAAGCAATCTACGAATATCCTCTACTCTCACCGGTCATGTTTGACAGCCATAAAGTAGGACGCAGCGAACTGCTGCACAGTACACTCGTCCTTTGGTCAGCAAGCGGATATCTCGCCTGCGCCATAAGTGACGTAGGTTACCAAAAGCCAATCGAGCTTTCTGTATCCGTGCTGAGATTTCTTCATTCACCAGGCCATCAGTACTGATGAGACCCCCAAGAAAAGTGAAGCGGTCTACACGTTCGACTACTTCAATCTCTATCACTAGTTCAGGTGTTGATGCAACCCTATCTTGAAGTAATGAAAGTTATCACAATCGGTAAGTTTAATATTCGGCAAGTGGTTTATCTTAGTCGCTAGACTTATGTCTCTCATTAGCTAAGACAGTTTTATCATACAATCTAAAATATAATTTCCAATCTTTGAACAACAGTAGGTTACAAGAAAGTGTTGCTTCGACAAAATTAACATTGTTTTACAGGCTTAAGTTTGAGAAGTCCAAACTAGATATTTAAGTAACAATCCGAATAATCTTTATGCATAAAACTGATTTCCATTTAAAAAGTATCAGACTATTACAAAAAACATTAACAAGCTTATGAATAAAACATATAGTGAAATAAAGAAACGACAAACGACCTAAAAATTAACATACTTGCCTAACTGTAAAACAGATAATCAATTTGTCGTATTTATCACAGAGTAATTTCAGTAAAGAGTCCCGATGAAAACCAGGAAGTACAATTGTCACCAAATGGCAGTGGATTATCATCGCAATTATATTTGGAATTGAACGAAAATGAAATCTTACCGCTTAACTCCAATTCAGTGATTCCAATACTTATGCGCTTGTCGCTAGATCCGAGGGTTCTGTATTTGAGATCTACAGTGAATAGTTTAAGTGCACACTGCTAGTGAATCCCAAGCTCCAACTAAACACTTATCAGGCGTTTTCAACGGTACATCAGTTGTTAATCAAACTATAACCAGTAGTACAATTTACAGCCTAAATCAATCTACACAAAAACCCTTACTACAAGATTATTCCATTTTGGTAAATTTACGAAATACAATATAATACAATTGATTGCAGTATCTAAACACATTACCAGATTTCTTGAACCATATAACATCAATAAAGTGAAAAGAAACTAACCAAGAGAAAATAATGAATAACAGACTTGGCGTGTATAAAAAAATCAATAGTAATTAAAAATAAACAAAAAGAATACAGTTTGACTAAAAAGATAGTTGCATCAAGAGAATAATAACAGATACAAATATTAGTTTCACTTACTTTTTCATTTGTTCATCATCATTCAAACTTAGATCATGTTCAGTTTGTAAACAGACAGAATGGGATATTACCTTTTCAACCTGAAATTATTACCAATAAATACAGAACTATCCATTATGGTCTAAAACAAATATGACAGTAGACTTACTATAAAAACGTATAACACTTTCCTAGTTATATTTAACTGACAAGTAAAAGAAACGTACGATTGAAGTGCATAGAATGAAGAGAACATCTACCACAAAACTGGAAATTGCCGAGTAAAGTCAACAGGATTCAAAACTACTGTACGAACTCCCGTTTGAACAGTTGCATTACTGACCGTAACACAAAACATTTATCTCATATACAAGTACAAGGTACTGTCCTTATTTATCGAATAACATTAGGAATATAAACTCAACGACAGACAGCTTCCTAGTAGTGAAATCATAGACAAACATTTCATCCTATTTTGAGACTGGACAAATGGATGTACCTGCGCCTCACTGTCACTGCAAATCTCAATGGGTTATCCAATGAATCCAGATGGCCACTAACTTATTCAACGTTGGTCTATTAGGGACTCCCAGACAACGAGTCTCAAATCGGAGAAAACGCGTATCTGAGAATCCACTTCTAACGACAATCGATCTATACTAAAATACTTGTGACAGAATGGCTAAATACCGAGGCGATCAATGCAGGAAGCCACATATACCGACTAAGACTGGTTAAAATTCAATCTTGTTCTTGTTAAAAGTACTTCTTAAATAGAAATTAGGAAACTAATGTTCGGTAACTTTCGTTACTATTACAAACAAACTATGGTAAATATTCAATGTTCACCAAGTCCAGTCTATTGGAAACTTCAGCACACTAATGTAAATAAAGAGACACCTCTAGACTTATACACAGTCAGTACGATCAAAATAAAATAAACCTGAGCATGCCTGATTCAGCAAGGTGATTAACTGGAAAACTCGATAATCATGTCTACTTAAAATACACAAGTTAGAGGCTTATACATTCCATTTCAGATAGGTGCAGTCATAGGTATATGTTTTATGCGTATATTAAATGAATACACCGACACCTATAAGCTCTATAGTATACACTCAGGTATGGAAGCAATTTACCACGGGTTGCAGCTCAGCGGCGTTGATCAATGAACGAATTTCTAACACTCAAATCATGTGGATTGTGATTCGCGTATTGACAAAATGCATCTTTACGCTCGCACACCGAACAACTTTAGTGACGACCCCTGCGCAATGGTTACGGCAAAGTTTATGGCCATTAGATCTAGTCTACTCGCAACCAAACCTAATGGCTATGTCTAGGGAGTCTTGTCAGGCACCAAAAGGAAAATTCTTTCTTCTGTTTCGCACTCTGCCTTTATTCTATGAAACATTCCCTTTTCTGATATTTCATGTTTAAGACAGGGTGGAGCATCAACCTGATCTCTAACTAACCGCTTACGATGGTTCAATAAACAGGGTTTGATTATATCTAGGAAACCACTCAGTGGTGTGAGTCAGAATTCATTCCAGCTTCGTAGGGTAAGACACCTGACTAAATGGAAGAAAAACGTGAGACAAGTCTTCAGTCGATTATGTCTTTTGTTCATAACTCACTTTGTGGTGCTGTGGTGCGAACTACTTATAAGTAGTATATAGCGTGAGTGTCAACGTAGAGTCTGGTAGCATAATATGGGGGGAAGATCAAGAAAGGAAGAGTCAGAAAACAATGGAATTTGTATGAAACGCATGAAGAGTGACAATGGATTGATGTTTGGCAACAGGAACAGTCCAGTTCCATAGGATGAACTGATCTTTTGCAAATGAACGATTTACGATATGGTTTTCCGATTTTACTGAGTAATTTTCGTTAAATACAATTCGGTTGCCTCCACCTGTGTTCTCATTCACTACATTTGGTGTCGCTGCCTACGCAAATGATGAAGATTCCATGGCCGAGGGAGTTTGAAGACGGGGATGTACGGGGCTTCCTGAAGGAGTTTGAGGCCGTGGCGGAGCTGGTGGGGGTGAAGGAACCGAAGGCGAAGCTGGTGGTGCTGGGGACGCTGCTGAGAGGAAGGGCGAAGGCCGTATATGACGGCTTGGACGGTGCTGGCGGGAAGACGCCATGGGAGGCGGTCGTTGAGCGGCTGATGACCGAGTTCGACAGCCCGGTGGACAGGGAGGAGGCGTTGCGGAAGTTCCGGTTGGCGAGGCTGTCGGCTGATAGTGACCCGCTGGTGCTCGCTGTGGAACTCAGAAGGTTGCTGCGCCGTGCGTTGCCGAATATCGATGAGGAGTCGGAGGCACAATTGTTGGCGTCGCAATTTATTGAGAGTGTGCCTGCCGCTGTGTCCCAGCAGCTGAGATTAGTAAATGCAGCACAACCTATGGACATCGGTGAACTGGCGAAGGTGACTCGTCAGCTGATGACACGAACAGTAGCTCCGGTCGGGTGCGAAAAGCAGGAGATAAATACTTTCGAGAAGAAGATTGAGGAGTTAGAGCGTGAGATAGCAGCATTACGAGTAAATCATAAAAGGAACGATAAATGTTACGCTTGTGGAGAGGCAGGACATTGGAAGATAAACTGTCCAAGAAGACGACGACGACGATATTTTAAACATTATAACGTGTTTTCTTTCCACCCTAGGAATTGGGAGGTTCTTGCACTAGTAGATAGAGGGGCAATTTATGCCAGAGTGTACATAAATGAACGGGAGTTAGTGTGTTTGATTGATACAGGGGCAGCTATATCGTTAATAAGCAAAGAGCAATGTAAGACAATTAAACCATGTACATTAGCTGTCCACACCATAGGAGGGCATATGCTAGAGGTGTTGGGGGTATCTAACAGTATTGTAAAAATGAGTGGAGCTGAGATAAATTTTCCGTTCGTGGTAACCACAAGCTTATCGAGACCGATATTAGGAGCAGATTTCCTAAGAGAGGTAAAAGCAATAATTGACTTGAGAAGCGGGAAAATGGTCACAAAGTACGGTTCATTGCCAATACATGAAAGTAGCGAAGTGGCTGAAATAAGGATGGCAACGGACGTCTCGACCAAGCAACCTAACGTTAACGAGTTATGCGCAAAGTATGCGAAACTGTTCACTGGAGATGGGGAGCCGTATGGATTTTGTGACAAAGTAAAGCATGAAATTCCTATAAAGAACGACCGAGTAAATATATTTACAACACGTCGTGTCCCAGTACCCGACCGAAGCTGCTACCTTGACGTGGTGGTCGGGCTTGCCTATCGTGATGACCCAACCGAGCTATACTGGCTGGAACACATGTTCCTGCAGGTCCTACCATGCCAGGCAGGTCGATTGGAGAACGATGAGACTAAAAGCAGCTACCCAAGGTCTGAGGGCGAAGTCGTACTGCTGACTGCAGAGGGGTGTGACAGCAGTAAGGTGTTTCCCTCGGACAACCAGCATCTGCAGCGATGCTGCCTTCTCACAAGGAAGGAAGGAGTTAGAAAAGGTCGACCCTAAAAATGTCACACCTCCCCTACCTCACGGATTTCCGTCTCCTTGGGTAAGGGTGCCCACTGGGCCTTTAAGAACGGAGCTAATCCTCTAAATACCTCTCATAAAAAGGCCGTGCGTGACCGGCCTGAAGCAGTTGTCCCTTGGACTCTGCGGTCACGCACCAACACTAATCCATCTTCCTTTTCAGGTTCGTCAAGAAACAACCTTCCACGGTGTGGGCAGCCGGGAAGTGATAACCGCCCTCATACCCGCAACAGCACACGAGACAAAATTGTTCAAAATCAAATCCTTCCCACATTCCCTGAACCCGAATGTAAGTGAGACTATCTCGGAAAAGGATGGTCTTATTATCCATTCTCAATCTAGGAGGCTGGACCGATGGGCAGAACACTTTAGGGATCAGTTCAACTGGCCTTCAGCCACTCTTCGGTTGCCCACGATCTCCAGTCATTATGAATGGCAAATCGATTTAAGTCCTCCCAGTTTACATGAAGTTGAGAAAGCTATAGGAAATCTAAGGAGAGGTAGAGCGGCAGGTCCCGATAGGCTTACCCCTGAGATGTTTAAGGATGGTGGTCCAGTTTTAACGGTTAAACTGACCGAGATCCTAGGTAGAATCTTGGAAATGGACGTAATCCCATCTGACTGGTCTCAGTCACTAATTGTCCCAATCTACAAGAAAGGACAGAAGTCCTCTTGTGACAATCACAGGGGAATAAGTTTAACTAATATAGTTTCTAAATTGTTAGCCTCGATTATACTTAGACGTCTAACTATAGCTCGCGAAGAGCAGACTCGAGAAAACCAGGCTGGTTTTCGACCTGGACGTGGTTGTATAGACCACATTTTCACACTACGACAGGTCCTGGAACACAGACACACATTTAGACGTCCGACAATAGTCGTGTTCCTGGACCTTAAGGCGGCATTCGACTCAGTGGATCGTGAGGTTCTGTGGCAGTGTCTGTCATTGAAAGGTGTACCAAAGAAGTACATTAACCTTATACAAGCACTCTACTCGAACACCACTGGTCGGGTGAGAGCATATGGCGAACTGTCATCTGAATTCTCTACATCAAGTGGTGTCCGTCAGGGATGTCCACTCTCTCCATTCTTGTTCAACTTTGTCGTAGACATCCTCTTAGAGTTAACATTAAGCTCGTCAGATTTTTCAGGGGTTGACCGTCTACCAGGAAAGTCGCTTACTGATCTAGAATATGCCGATGACATAGTTCTATTCGGTGAAGACGCTGACAAAATGCAGAGTCTTCTGACTACCATAAGCAACAATGCGAGCATGTTCGGGATGCGGTTTTCCCCCTCGAAATGCAAAATGTTGCTTCAAGACTGGGTTGCTTCGGCACCTGAACTAGTGATAGGGAGTGAAGTAGTCGAGCGTGTAGATCACTTCACTTATCTGGGGAGTCTCATCAGTGCTGACGGTCTGGTGACTGACGAAATCTCAGCTCGGATACAGAAAGCTCGATTGGCTTTTGCCAACCTGCGTCACTTATGGCGTAGGCGTGATATCCGTTCGCTAACCAAAGGGCGGGTGTACTGCGCAGCAGTTCGTTCCGTTCTCTTATATGGCTGTGAAACATGGCCGTTAAGAGTAGAAGATGTTCGTAGGTTACTAATATTCGATCATAGATGTTTAAGAAGGATTGCTCGTATACCGTGGGACGGCCGAGTAAGGAATGCTGTCGTTAGGAAACGAGTACTAGGTAAGGATGGCAGATCAATCGATGAAGTGGTGAAACTTCATCAGTTGAGGTGGTTGGGACATGTGTTACGTATGCCTAACCACCGACTGCCTCGACGAGCTATGTTTTGTGGTGTAGGAGTAGGTTGGAAGAAAGCTATGGGCGGCCAGACCAAAACATGGCAGAAATCCATGAAGTCACTGACAAGTGGACTGAGTCATGTTGGTAGATGTAGGCTACCTGGTTGGGGTCCGCGAGACGAAAGTCATCAATGGTTAGAGACCTTGAACGATATGGCTCAAAATCGTTTGCAATGGCGCAGGTGCATCCACTCTTTGAGCTCTCTCAAATCCTAATCTTCTGGATTAGCCAGCACCTCTACCTTTGTCTTTCTAACCTTATCTCACTGAATTATATTTTTTGAATAATATCTTCGAACCCTAGTCTTCTTTATTGACATTAATACCTCTACCATCTTTATCACTATGAGATTTGATTCGACATTTGCGTCTCTGTGCTAATAATGTGGTATGGCAACATGAACTTATGTACATACGTACGAAGTTCCACATTGCAACTGACTGACTGTGTCCCAGTGCATTTAGAGGCCGAGGTAAATCGATAGGTCCAGGAAATGTTGAAGGAAGGGATAATTGAGGAAGCAGACAGCCCGTATAGCTCACCGGTACTCTTGGTAAAGAAACCCAATGGAAAGTATAGATTTTGCGTCGACTTTAGAGAACTGAATAATATAACAGACCTGAAACCGTGCGCAATGCCAACAGTAGTAGAAACATTAGATCGATTACAGAATGCCACGGTGTTTACAGTGCTGGATTTACGGTCAGGTTATTGGCAACTACCTATAAAAGATAGCGATCGCAAAAAGACAGCATTTACTATACGGGATAAACAGTATCAATTTAAAAGAATGCCGTTCGGGTTGGCTGGTGCACCGTTCACGTTCAGAAGATTGATGACGCTGCTGCTTAAGAATCTAGATAATGTTGAGGTATATGGCGACGATGTAGTTGTATACAGCCTGACGGAAACAGATCACGTCAAGCATGTGGAAGCGGTCTTAAAGAGAATTGACGAATTTGGGCTTCGGATTAATAAGGAAAAGTCGCAGATAGCGAAAAACAGCGTCATATTGTTGGGACATAAAGTGGGAAACGGAGAAATAAAGCCACTACCAGAGAAAATTCTTACCATAAAAAATATTGCAGTACCTAATTCGAAAAGGAAGTTGAGACAGTTCCTGGGAAGAGCGGCGTTCTATAGTCGGTTTGTCAAGAATTTCAACGAAATAGCAGCGCCCTTATATAAGTTGCTGAGCAACACCAAGTTTACATGGACTGAGGCTGCCGAACAAACGTTCAACCGAATCAAAAACATGCTAGACGATCGTCAGATGACGCTGCGACTGCCTGAACCCGGTAAACTGTTTACAGTGGCCACAGATGCAAGTGATCATGGTATAGGTGCGGTATTGAGTCAGGCTGATAGAGTGGTGGAATACGCAAGTCGCGTTCTCACACCCGCCGAACAGAAGTATTCAACGATCGAAAAGGAATGCCTAGCAATCGTGTGGGCAGTAGAGAAATGGAGACCGTACCTTTTAGGTAGACGATTTCACATCGAGACGGATCATAAGCCCCTACAATGGTTGAAAACAGCAAAAGACCCTCGGGGGAAGTTGGCTCGATGGATGCTACGTCTGCAGGAGTATGATTTCAGCATCGGGCATGTGCCAGGGGAGGAAAATGTAATGGCAGATTATTTGTCAAGACCGGACACCGAAGCCGAACTTCCAGAGATAGCGTGTGCAGTTAACGGCCTAGAGGGAGACCCCCTAGAACTCGTCCGACATCAGAAAGCCGACCCTAACCTTCGGGAGGTAATCAGAGTGATAAAAGAGGGAGAAGATGTTGACAAGAGTAGAACAGATAAAGAATTAACAGTGTTGCTGAGGCAGAAGGAGAGACTGAGAGTGAACGGATACGGAGCCTTGACCTGGCGGGATGATGACGAGAATTGGGTAGCAATAATCCCAAAAGATCTGCGCCAGGAGATGATTCGTGAATGTCACCAGGTAGCGCATACAGGTATTGCACGGACAACTGATTTGCTGCGACAAAGTGCGTACTGGCCAGGTATGAGAGACGATGTTGCACGATATGTATTAGCGTGCCAGCGATGTCAACTAATGAAAGGAGATCGATGCATACGACCGCCATTGCAGTCAATTCCAGTAACAGCAGTTGGTGATTTGTGGTCAGTAGATGTTATGGGACCGTTCCCGCAGAGGACAAGTGGTAACCAGTACCTGCTGGTGATGACTGAGCATGCCACACGATGGGTAAATGCCGTGCCGATGGCGGACCAACGTGCAAGGACGGTGACGGAAGCGGTAATGCGGCACATTGTGGCGGACCATGGGATACCAAAGATAATATTAACCGATCAAGGTCCCTGTTTCGAGAGTGATGAGTTCAAGTCCCGTCTAAAGCAGTTAGGTATCAAGAGAGTACGAACAACGCCGTATCATCCACAGACGAATGGGTTAACGGAAAGGAATAACCGAACGCTAAAGGAATGGCTAGCATCTAAAGGGGGTGACTGGGAGAAAGAATTACCATTAATCTTGCTGGCACATCGTGCCTCGGCACAGGGAACAACCAGGAAGTCACCGTTCCAGCTGATGTACGGCAGACGGCCGAGACTACCAACGCATGATAAAACCTGGCCGCAACAACAGAGATGGAATACAACAAGATTGAGAACAGAGCGGAGACAAGCAATCAGGAATGTGAGAGAGGAACAAACATCAGACATGGAAAAGTCAGAACAGGAGAGAAAGAACTGGAGATTGTTTGAAGTGGGAGATCAGGTGAAGTGTAGAGAACGGAAATATACCACAGGAAGAGGGCCAGGGTCAGGTAAGCTGATCCCGAAGTGGGAGGGACCGTACGTCGTCACCGAGAGGCGCGGCGCAGTGTATACGATCCAGAAAGGAAACAAACAGAAACGCGTGAATGCTAGTGAACTCCAAAGGTGGTTCCAAGTGCGCCAAGAGGGAGAGCCACAAACACTGATGAAGAAGACGGCTGTACGGAGATCGGAAAGACTGCGACGACAGCTTATTAAAAGGGGGGACGAGTGTGGTGCTGTGGTGCGAACTACTTATAAGTAGTATATAGCGTGAGTGTCAACGTAGAGTCTGGTAGCATAATATGGGGGGAAGATCAAGAAAGGAAGAGTCAGAAAACAATGGAATTTGTATGAAACGCATGAAGAGTGACAATGGATTGATGTTTGGCAACAGGAACAGTCCAGTTCCATAGGATGAACTGATCTTTTGCAAATGAACGATTTACGATATGGTTTTCCGATTTTACTGAGTAACTCTGTAATTTTCGTTAAATACAATTCGGTTGCCTCCACCTGTGTTCTCATTCACTACAACTTTACTTATCATATACTACAGTCCTACGATGTGTCAGATATTAGTTTCGTAATCAAAGTATGGTCTAATGTTTGTACTTCAACTCCAATCACTATCACAGTTCTAAACAAATGTTGAAGTAACTATGGTATAAATAATCATGATTTAGTTTGAAAACAGTTGATGTGATCAAAGGATAAAAAATATGAGATAAGGCTATGGTATTTTGAGAAAGCCCATCTACTCTACTGCGACTAAACCTAGTTCAATCGAAGTGCTTGATGCTTCACTAAGTGGTCATCTCTACGTAAAACTTAGTTTTGATCAGATTCTATAGATTAGAGTACATTGTGGCTATAAGTCCAAGTAATACAGTGTCTCAACCATTCATGTTTGATAGGGACAACCTGTTAATTTATGCAGTAAACAAATGTTTTATATGTCAGCTTATTTGGAAATAATGTTAAGTACAACTGAAAAAACGAGGATTTATTTTTTGGAAACTGTCAATCAATCTGTAGACAAGAAAAAAACCCAGGAAACCTAACGAAATTCTGAATGTTTGTTTGAGTAATTGAAACGTTGTCACTGAAATAATTAATCTGTTTTCAATCACAAACATATATTAAGAGCTAACATCAGGAACAATAATATCATAAAAAACGACTAAGCTTTCAGTATTGAAATAAACAGGATTGTAGGCAACATTTCTTCACAGGGCAAAAACAAAAACTTAATGTTTTAAAAAGATAAATAATGAAATAAGATATTTTAACTTACTGGAGATAAGAGTATTTTAACAGGAGTAGGATTATCAGCACTAGTTTCAGATTCACCGGATTTATTTTCACTCATTTCATTATCGATTTGTAAATCACTCTTATCTAATGACCAATCATACAACCGAGTCGATCCTGGAGGTAATGTTGGTAGTAAACTATTTGGTTTTTGTGAAGAAAATTCACTGGAAGTTGAATTCACCTAACAAAAAAAGAATTCCGAATGTGAAATTACTGTTTGTTATACCTAACAAATTTACATGAATAGTTATTTTGAACTACCTTATCTGAGCTTGTACGGAATGTTTTACAATCACATTATCTAGCTAACAAAACATTGCACCACATCAAAAGCAACTCTAGCACAGTTATTATTCTTTTCTATTATTTCAATATGTAAGTAAAAATGAAAAACCAACAAGTAGAATATACTGTCACGATTTATAAGAAAAACTAACCTCATCTTTTAACTCCATCAGCTGAGTTGTTAAACCGGGATTGTAAAGCTTTCTATCACTGTGAAGAGAAGAAAAAAAAGTTTATATATATATAAAGCTTGCTTTTATGTCAGAATGTCAAAGTAATCTTCTTATCGAGAAAGTATATTCCGAAAAATAGAACAAACATTTAGCCTGTTCGTCAAAATAAGATAAACTATTATTATCTTACAGTTAAGAGAAATCAAATGATTGTACTTTGAAACCATACAAGTAATAAAATCTGAATTCATGAAATTACCCGCATTTTGGTAATTGTAATTTATCAAAACAATACTTTAGAAAATGACAACGAAATAGTTTTCTAATACTTTAGGTCAACAACCTGATAATTCATACATTATCCATTAATTACTCTGTATTTGATTGTTGCGCGTAAACAGTGAAAAATAACGACAACCAGTCGATTTGTTAAAGTGCGCTTCCTTTGAGAGAGAAAAAGTAAAACTCCTTCGCGTCAATTTGAAATAACAGGTCAGAGTATCCAGACTACAAGATAATTGGCAAATTCAACCCCAAAAACCATCAAAATTCAGGGAAATATTTAAATTTTTTAACGAATACACCCCTTACACCTGCATCAGGTTTGGATTGATTTTTCTGGTTAGCATTTTTTTTAGCGAGTTAGATTTTTTATGCGATGGGGTCGCCAACCTCATGTACAAACCTCCTCCATTGTCAGGGCTTAGGACCGGCAATCGACCCAGAGGGGTTTCAGGTGTTTTGAATACTCGGTTTCAAGTCACATTGTTTGTGTGATGACTACTGATAAAAATTGGATGATTAGATGAAAACAGACACAAGGAGAAGTGATTTATTCACTAGATTACTTCAGGACATATGTAAGAAAATGAGAGATTTTGAGATGGTGGAGAAAACTTGTAGCTCAGGTGGATGATTGTGAAGGTGTTTTGTTCTCTGAGCTGGTTGTTTTGGTTGTGGAGCTTTCATTGTTCTTCTGAACAACATCATCAGCACGAACTTCAGATAGAAGTGAAGCATTAGAATTTCTCCACGTTTGACCTGTAGCTTGTTCTGCTAACCTCGATCTTGATTGGTTGTTGTTGACCTTTGGCCTGTCGTTGTTTGCAACTATGTTTTGATTGTCTCCCTCTTTTGATCTGTTTCTTGATCTAGTGTCACCTATGATTTTCCTGATTGGTTGATAAATTGGGTCAATGTCGATGTGTTTGTTGATTGCTAATTGACCTGAGTGCCAAGCTTCTAAAAATTCTCTAGTGTTCTTTGTCCTCCCCCTACCTAGTATTTCCACGTTGTTCCAATCAAATGTGTGTCCATAATTGTCGGTGTGTATTGATATAAGCGAAGCGTTGTCGTGGCGTTTGACTGCTAATTGATGTTCACGTAAACGGAGCTGAAGAGGTCGTCCACTTTGTCCTATGTAGTGTTTTTCACAATTTGAGCAATTTATTTTGTAGATGATATTTGGTTTTTCTTCCTTTGTCATTTTGTCCTTTGGTCTACATAGGATTGACTGAAGTGATTCCGTTGGTTTGTGTGCCACACCTATTCCAAATGGTTTCAGTAGTCGTGCCGTATGCTCTGATATGTCTTTGATGTATGGTAGGATGATGCGTTTGTTTGTTCCTGTGCTTGATTTCACTCCTGATGATAGTTTTGGTTGATGTTTTTTGATGAAGTTGCGTGGATAGCCGTTCTTTTGGAAGATAGTCATCAGATGTTTTTCCTCGTTTTTTAATGTTTCGTATGTGCTGCAGTGTGTCTTCGCTCTCTTGAACAGAGTTTGTATGCAGTTAATCTTGTGGGTTCTTGGGTTGTTGCTGTCGTAGTTGAGAATTACGTCGGTGTGGGTTGGCTTCCGAAATACTTGAGTTTCTAGTTTTCCTGTGTTAGTTCTGGTGATTAGTACATCCAGGAATGGTAGGCTGTTGTTTGATTCCTTTTCCATCGTGAATTTGATGTCATCAAAGACGTTGTTGATCTGATTGTAGATGTTCTCCAGCTCATTCCTTTTGATAATAACGAATGTGTCGTCTACATAGCGAACCCACATTTTTGGCTTGATCACTGGCAGAATCGACGCTTCCAGTCTCTGCATTACCGCTTCGGCGATGAGTCCTGATATTGGTGATCCCATTGGTGTTCCTTTTATTTGTTCGTAGACTCTGTTGTTGAACTGAAGATATGTTGTTAAGCATAGGTCGATGAGTTCAAGCAAACTTTGACTCTGAAGCTTTGTATATTTGTGTAGATTTGTGTCGTTGGTGAGGAGTAGAGAAAGAGTTTCTTTGGCTAAGCTTGGTTCTATTGAGGTAAATAAGGCTGTTACGTCGAAGGATATCATCATTTCGTCGTTGTCAATTTGAATCCTCTTGAGTTTATCCAAGAATTCTGTGGCAGACTTAATGGAGTAGTTGGATTCATCCACCAGATGTTTTAATATCCTTGAGATCTCTCTTGATAAGTTGTAGGTCGGGGTTCCGGGGAGGGATACAATAGGACGTAGTGGGATGTTAGGTTTGTGGAGTTTTGGCCTACCGTAGAATCGTGGAATTGTTGGTCCATTGGATTTCATTCTCCATTGATCTTGTTTTGATATTTGTCCTGTTTTGACAAGCCTATTTAGAGTCCTTGAGATTTGATTGTCCAACTTTTTTATGGGGTTTGTGTCGACTGGTTTATATACGCTTCTGTCCTGAAGTAGCTCCTCGGCTTTCTTGATATATTCCTCCTTGTCCATGATTACTGTTGTGCGTCCTTTGTCCGCTGGAACTATGACTATATCTTCCCTGGTTTTGAGTTTCTTCAGAGCTTTTCGTTGTTGTGCTGTTAGTTGGTTGTTGTCTCTCTTCCGTCGAGTTAGTGGTACTATGGTTTGTCTTATTTCTTGTTGAGTTTCTTCACTTATTCCTGCCGTTTTGAGCGATGACTCTAATGCCGCGAAGAATTCCAGTTTTGAAGCATCCTTCGTGTTGTAGTTTAATCCTTTTTGGAGCAGTTGTACTTCTGTTGTCGTTAGATGTTGCTTCGATAGGTTGACCACACAACTGTTTGCGTTTTCTTCTGTGGCTGGCTTTGAAATCTTGATTAGTTTGTCTTTGAGGATGCTTCTTCTTTGTTCTCTGTGTCGTCTGCTTGACAGTTCAATCTACGGTAGGCCAAAACTCCACAAACCTAACATCCCACTACGTCCTATTGTATCCCTCCCCGGAACCCCGACCTACAACTTATCAAGAGAGATCTCAAGGATATTAAAACATCTGGTGGATGAATCCAACTACTCCATTAAGTCTGCCACAGAATTCTTGGATAAACTCAAGAGGATTCAAATTGACAACGACGAAATGATGATATCCTTCGACGTAACAGCCTTATTTACCTCAATAGAACCAAGCTTAGCCAAAGAAACTCTTTCTCTGCTCCTCACCAACGACACAAATCTACACAAATATACAAAGCTTCAGAGTCAAAGTTTGCTTGAACTCATCGACCTATGCTTAACAACATATCTTCAGTTCAACAACAGAGTCTACGAACAAATAAAAGGAACACCAATGGGATCACCAATATCAGGACTCATCGCCGAAGCGGTAATGCAGAGACTGGAAGCGTCGATTCTGCCAGTGATCAAGCCAAAAATGTGGGTTCGCTATGTAGACGACACATTCGTTATTATCAAAAGGAATGAGCTGGAGAACATCTACAATCAGATCAACAACGTCTTTGATGACATCAAATTCACGATGGAAAAGGAATCAAACAACAGCCTATCATTCCTGGATGTACTAATCACCAGAACTAACACAGGAAAACTAGAAACTCAAGTATTTCGGAAGCCAACCCACACCGACGTAATTCTCAACTACGACAGCAACAACCCAAGAACCCACAAGATTAACTGCATACAAACTCTGTTCAAGAGAGCGAAGACACACTGCAGCACATACGAAACATTAAAAAACGAGGAAAAACATCTGATGACTATCTTCCAAAAGAACGGCTATCCACGCAACTTCATCAAAAAACATCAACCAAAACTATCATCAGGAGTGAAATCAAGCACAGGAACAAACAAACGCATCATCCTACCATACATCAAAGACATATCAGAGCATACGGCACGACTACTGAAACCATTTGGAATAGGTGTGGCACACAAACCAACGGAATCACTTCAGTCAATCCTATGTAGACCAAAGGACAAAATGACAAAGGAAGAAAAACTAAATATCATCTACAAAATAAATTGCTCAAATTGTGAAAAACACTACATAGGACAAAGTGGACGACCTCTTCAGCTCCGTTTACGTGAACATCAATTAGCAGTCAAACGCCACGACAACGCTTCGCTTATATCAATACACACCGACAATTATGGACACACATTTGATTGGAACAACGTGGAAATACTAGGTAGGGGGAGGACAAAGAACACTAGAGAATTTTTAGAAGCTTGGCACTCAGGTCAATTAGCAATCAACAAACACATCGACATTGACCCAATTTATCAACCAATCAGGAAAATCATAGGTGACACTAGATCAAGAAACAGATCAAAAGAGGGAGACAATCAAAACATAGTTGCAAACAACGACAGGCCAAAGGTCAACAACAACCAATCAAGATCGAGGTTAGCAGAACAAGCTACAGGTCAAACGTGGAGAAATTCTAATGCTTCACTTCTATCTGAAGTTCGTGCTGATGATGTTGTTCAGAAGAACAATGAAAGCTCCACAACCAAAACAACCAGCTCAGAGAACAAAACACCTTCACAAAAATGAGAGATTAGATGCTTAGTAAGCCGAATGAATTATCGGAATTTTCAACTAAAGTTTCAAATCATACTGTCATATTTAGCTTTCTGTGTGGTCAAAAAATCTAAATGCAGGCGCACATTACAAGTTGATGAAGACAAGCAATATGGGTACCAATAAATGTCCAAAACAGTAGGGTACACGAAACTGGCGAACGACTTCATAAATGTACAGAACGGTTTAAAAACACAGCTAAAATAGCAAACAATCTTACCTAGTTAAATGAGGCCTATTGTTTGTAGTTGATTCTGAAACATTATTATTAAGTGATAACTGTGAGAGTAGAGCATTTTGACGTAGTAGATCTAGTTCATGACGCAGTTCCTCCATTTCATCTAATACTCTTAAATAATCCGCTTTTGATACAACCTCATCTGCCATTTTCTGTTCCACTTGTTTAATGTACCGTGTAGTTTTTAAATCACTATTCCATCCTAAAACATCAAATACATCGGATAGATTAGCACAAGTGGATAGATTGACCATAGTATCAATTACCAATGGTTTTTCTGACGTACTAGATAGATAATGTGTTGAGAACATTGAATCCGATACTTTTCTCAGTGGAAAAATCAAAATTGGTAAAATTAAATTATCAAAAAAGTTTACCTTATATAACCAAACATTACAGTTAAAAATTACCATAATTAATTACAATCTATTTATTAAGTTAAGTTTAATTACTGTGACCAAATAAGCTTTAACTTATTAAGATTTCATCATTGAAACAAATTGAATGGGTGTTTAAATTCTAAGTTGATGAGAAGTTTGAAACGGTCTTTTTATCTTCAAAAGCAGGCAACCAGCCATTTAGTTAGACATAATAACATAATACTGAAACTATATTTTCTTCACAGTTGAAATCACAAACTGATCTAGGTTAGACTACTGTTAGAAACCTGGAGGCGGCACTTGACAACCGCTTCGTTCCGTTATAGAACTCTCCAGCAGTGGGCATCCACTACCTCCGCACGCGAGAGTCAAACACCGGGACCCTTGGTCTCACGCGCAAATGCTTCATCTCTAGACCATAGTTTTCTATCAATCCATAATGGTGGTCTAGACTAGATCCATTCGTGATATAATCCGCTACGGAAACAATACAATCTCCACAATTCCCCTTGATTAATATATTCTGTAAAATGAATTTGATTCGAAACCTCTAGTTTAGAATATACAACGTCTGAGAATATTCACTAGTGAAAACTGTCAATATTGTGAGTTAGAAAGCTTGAAAGAACAGAACCAACCAATTTAATCGCTTATTCTTGAAAGTTTAATGAAGTTTACATGCAACGAAACGTGTCATGATTAGCAGGTAGAATAATATAAACTTGGTACTTCAACCAGCAACATTATTGTTGAAATAGAAAACACTTACAAAGAATATTTGATAGTGACTTTGAAACAAAACTATCTAGTGAATTTTCAGATGGACAACAATTTAAGAATATCTAGCACCAATTGGAAAAACTCCAGCTATTAATCTGAAGGCCATCAAACTTACGAAAATATCTCGAACTGTCCCAACTACCAAAATAAACAACATTCACCACGAAAGATGTTTTGACAATTTTTGGCTACAGAGCGACCTGATTACCTCACACTCATTGTAGTAATTTATTCACTATGCTTGCTTAAATTATTACCCTTATCACTTATGAAATACAATAATACAACAGACCGAGTTCCCACTAGAAATTTCAGTTACATTAGGATATGAGATTTATTCACTTCCGCTAGTCATATTGGTTAGAAGATTGGAAGCTTTCATGCTCAACGAAACCTTGAAATATGAAAAAAATATGTTCTAAATCATGCGCATCATATTAAAATTCAAAATGACCAAAAGGAACGATTTACCTGAAGACGAACTAGGTGATGTTACAGGATCCATACTTCCGGAGGAGACATTATCTTCAATTGATGATTCTACAGGACATTCTTGATTACATCGAGTATCTGATTCATTGTTTGCAACAATAGGAATGTCAATCTTCGTTTTTACAACTGATTTTTTGTTATCTACAGGGATCTCGAGATTATTTTCTCCCGAATTGACGGCAGCTATTGTTCCACATAAATGTTTGTTAGCTTCGTCTTCCATGTCCTCATCCAACGAATCAAAGTCTTCATAAGAAAACGCGGTTAAAGTTGCATAATTTCTAGAACGATTCTATTCAAAACAAAGTATGGATCAAACAACTTAATGCTGAACACGCATTCGTTACAAAAATGTCAATGCGCAAAATGGTTATCTTGAGTTTCAATAAAATGTTTGGTTCAAAATTGATTACCGTAGGATAGTAAAATACATAAATGAAATACATTATGTTACTATCCCGCAGTTAAATAAAGTTTACAAATAAATTGATACAGGTTTTTCATAAAATCCTATACACCTAAAAATAATATTTTTTATAAAAAGTTACAATTACAACTAAATTTGTTTGCAGGTACACTACAAGATGTACTATGTTAACATTCAGTTTATGCAAATAATAAGTCTTTGTAAAAAAATTAACGAGGGAAACAGTACAAAATTTTAAAAATTAGGAATTGGATTGATCTACCTGTAAGGCTTTCTTGAAAGCTAGAGGCATGAAAAGTTGAGTCGAATTTGAGTTGGCACTCTGTTGAACAAGAACCCTTGGTTCTGTTGATTGAACTGGCTTATCCTTGACAGGTTTACACGAATTAGAGCTACGTGTGGCGGCAATAACTGCACGTTCGGCTGCTCGAACAAGTTCTTTGGCTTCTGCAAGTTCTGCATCTCGATTACTACGCAACTCATTCATTTGAGATTCCAACAACCTTTTGCTGAGTACAAGCTCTGTGACTAAATTTTGGAAAAACAGAATCAGACTTTGCTAGTAAAATACTTGCTTGTAAAATACTTAAGAATGACATGAAGTATATGAATGTGTCGAACTACATGTGCAGAAAAGAGCCAAAGTTACAAATAAACTAGTAAAAATTCGCTTACTTCAAAAAAGATATGATGAAAATTCCCATTTTTGCTGAAGAACAGAATGCATTGAGATTACAAAATCATAAATATAAACAACTTTCTCCGAAATATACTTTACGTCTGAAAAGGCTAAGTTCACATATTTCGTAGTAAACGAGGAATACTTGGGTATCCAAATAAAGCCGATGTGAAATTAAGACCAGTTGATTTCTTAGTACTAGATGTGTAAAAACTTTATCATAGTGGCGACTTTCTAAGTGAAAAGCATTTTGATGACATTTTTGCTGTCGCTAAAATTAGAATTTCGACAATATTTGATGAAATACATTCCCTTTATTTTAGGAGTTCTGTCAATCCTAGTGGAACGGTACTGAGTAAAAACTGGCAGCATTTTTGAAGAGTTAATAAGGCTTCTTCTGACTTAAGCCACCAGCACTTTCGGAAACATTTTCGTGTCCATCAAAACACTAACAGCACATGCTTTTGTCCCCAAATGCCCTGGCAAGATTGAAAGTGAGGATATATGTTTCTACAAAGGTGAGACACTTAGGTTATTCAGTAAAAGTAATAATGTTTTCAAAAACGATGTATAACACACTTCTGAATTTAACTGCGAACAAAGAAATGAAGACTTTATTTAAAGATATTTCAGTTTATGAACTGGAGAGACGTAATTCCTGCTTATCCAGTCAGTAACTCCTCCTAGAGCATCCTAGGCTTACGGAAGACTGCAAAGCAATCACCGACATTCAAGATCAGCGTAACAAGTGGGTAGAGTACTTTGAAGAGCTGTTGAATAGACCAACCTCACTGAACCCGCGCAACATAGGAGTAGCACCCACGAACCTCACAGTCACTGTTGACCCACCAACAGTAGGAGCGATCAGCACGACCATCAGACAACTCACGAACGCCAGAGCAGCATGATCAGACAACAAACCAGTAGAGGCACTGAAAGTAAACGCAAAGTTATTTTTGTGAGATCGCTGGTATGCGACCTATGCTCCATGAGGGGTACCAAGTGTATCCAGTCAGACGGTTGCAACATATAACTTGGCACGCACGTGCATCAGTGCAAGTTTCTCAAAACTTATCAGCAAGCTTATGTAAAACTATCTATTAACTCAGTCCTCAGAGTATGAGAGTTGGTAACAACACTGTGGGTAAGATTGGGAATGGACGATAAAACTCAAAGTATAAAAAAAGTGGTGGCTTCCATTCCCAATGGCGAAGTCACGGATGCACACTCTTGATGCATTCCATAACAGGACGAAACGACTGTCCGGTGCCTCCACGTTCCTAACAGAGGCCTAACATTGATAGACGGAAAAAACAAGGTAGTTATGAGAAATTTAGAAGCTTAGAATTCGAGGTCAAAGGGCAGATGCACATGCACTATTTCAAACTATTTTGAATCATGTTATTTAAAGTCTTTAACCATGGGTTACAACTATCTTGCAGGCCTTAAACAGGTAGTCCGCACCTATTAATACAGCTTCATCCTATCTTCAGTGACTTCATGGACTGACAACACGTTTGGTTTTCCCACTCATAGCCATTAACACATCTCACACCCAAAAAGTAAAACAGAGAGAAGTAAGTTGAATGTGAATTACATAAAAGGAATATTTTAAAAAAGGAATTACTTTGTTCGTCGGCCATCTGTAGGGCTGCATGTAAGCGTCGATTATCCTCTGTGGCTCGTTCTAAACGAAAATGAACTTCTGTCATGCATTCCGTATCCTCTAGCTCCAAACGAATCTGTTGTAGTTCTTCTAACTCAACAGAAAGATTAGCTTTCAGCTGTAATGCACTTTGTATTTCTTCCAAAAGTTCTGATGTCAAAGAATACACACAAAAAGGTTAATAAAAATTTGGTATCCAATTAGAAAATATCCTATCTTTGATTTGTATTACCCGTGAAATAGTATGTTCATGCGTTGCAAGTAATTAATATCACTTACATGTACAGCGATCACCAACGATGATAGATAATAATCAAGGTTTTCGATTAGTTGATGAAGCTTCACATAATATGGTATTTCTATATATTTGTTTAAACGCTAACTTTGGTAATAACCAGTACCAATTATATATGCGCTACACTACGACGCCCCTTGTTGCCGATATCCATATTTTGACATATCAGTCCTTGCAATATTCGACTGGTCGTATGACCCGTAAAAGCATGTCTAATCTTTCTGATCGCTGTTCACTAGTTTCTACTATAATGACAAGTTATGAGTTAGATCTAATATGGATCCAAACGAATGGAAGTAGTGCTGATGAAATTTATAATCTCCTTACAACGTCTGATGTTTGGATAGTTGCATGGTTCCTATTTCTTGTTTGCATTTGGTTCAGTTTACCTCTTTCATTTTTATAATACTAAATTCTCTTTTTCCCAGTCATGATTTCATGGCTGTAGTGTGAATTATAGATGATACGGCATTGCACTTCTGGTGTTGAAATAAGAAAACGTGGCATCTTCATCTCACGAGAAGTAAATTACCGAGTTCAAGTTATTCAGTTTCTTAAAAGCTGTCAGTATTGATAGGGAAAGCTTTGACGTAAAAGATACAGGTTGTCATAGTCAGGGATCAACGATAAGGATGCCATGAAAATCTACAATAAAAGAACTTAAGGGAAAGCATATAATGGCAGGATGCTACATGATTAGCTACACGTAATATGCCTTTCACCCATAAGTTTGAACCCATTTAACAAAACATCTTCACCCAGCGTTTTGTGTGAATGGATTAACATGGGTCTTAAAGACACACAAATCAACTCCGCATGAATACAGTTTTTTGCTGTATTAACAGTGGCTGAAACGAAAAAAGTAGTCTGTCATAAATTCAGAGATAACGACACTAGTACTTCAGCCATAAATTTCACTTGCAAGTGGTTAATATCAATTAACGAACTTCGAATTTTAAATTAACTGCATGAACGCCTAACCACATATACTCAGAAAGACTAGCAAATATAACTCATACTGTTATCGTGCAACAAAAGTGGAATTTTTGGTGAATAAAATCTCTAGGCTAAACAATAAAATAATTAAGATTTATTGGTTATCATAACCTAAGAAAACTCTAAAATCCCTTTCGAGATGTAACCATATTTCGTCATCCTTGAGAATGAGAGCCGATCTATTGTCTAATAAGTACTACTAAGTTCAGGACTAGAAACTTCTAATAAGAATTTCACATACCGCTGTATGACGGCATACTTGAATCAGCGGATCTGGGTCTGGATTTGTTGGTAATATAATGATTCTCTTCACCTATACGTCCAGAAAAACGGTAATGCAAAGCTGCAAACTTTTCTTCATATCGTTTGCTCCACTCTGACAAAACCTGGGAAAGACTTGTATCTTTCCCCGTAGACAATTCATGATAGGCCATCTCCATGGTACCAGCTGTTGTCTGGTCGAAGGTAAAGGTCATTCATGATCCAATAGCTTATTTACGAGCTAGTGTTAAAAGGTTGATCTCATTGATTTGGATTCTTGTTCTTTTAGTACAGTTCAGAGCACATGATATCTGTTCATTAGGCTTCGATTATCATTGGTAGTGGTAATATTTAGACTTTTACGTTAAAGACAGTAGGTCCGCGCTTGTTCTATACTACTAAGCTTTTGATTCTGTAGTCTCCTCTTGAACGAGTCAACTGAAAGTGTTAATATAATGTCTGCGGGTAAAAGGTTACAGTGGTTGATCCGAAATCTTTTTATTGAGCTAGTATAAAGCACTTGATCTCTGCTATCGCTCTATGTCCTTTCAGTACAGTTCCAAATATTTGGTAATATCCAGTGGATGATAGTCTAACCATCCAACTGCACTAATTCTAGTCAGTTATCTATCTCGATCACCTGCTCTCTCCCCATCTGCTTAGGCAGTATACACTTTTATTCACTCGCAAACACTGAACTTGTGGAAAAGTTACTGGATCCACGTTAAGGTGCTTATTAGGACGGCACAAGGTCAAGTTGCAATTTTGAGGTACTTTTAGGTCCTATTCTCTCGTCACTCCACAGCATTCTTCGGAGTATTATTCATAATTAGGATCGCTAGACCCATACACCTCCTGCAAGTCTCCAACATAGAAACCAAGACGACACTCCTCGCATTTCTACTCATAAAAAGACCAATAGGAAAAAAATCGGAGAAAAAGGCCTCTTAAGGTTCAGTCCACCCAGTCTATCGTTCATAAATCTCAGATGGATAACTGTATTGCCTGCTTAATGCTAATAGAAACCAGTGGCTGTTTATGAATGCAACTTCTGTAGTACATGGGTCCACCGTCACTGCGACACTACAGTCACCCCTGTTCATGATTCTAGTATATCTGTCCACGCTGCAGAATTACTAGGGCATTAGTGAAATCACAGACTCCATCACAAATCAGCCCAAAAATCTAAACGTGTTAACATAAATCGCGCGGCACTCAACCAGTATGACAGACGACCAAAGCAGCTACAACTCAAACCAAGAAGCAAAAAATACAGGCGGTTTTTTCAAATCCCACGGTATCTATTAACAGTACGGAACAGCGGGTGGATGTGAAAAGGGGGAACGGAAACTTCACAAAGGGAGACCCTCTTAAACCAGGGTAACATTAGACTAAGCAAAACTTGTCAAAGACATCCTCCTCACATCCCAGAGACCTCGGTTAAGTTGTTCTCCCCAATCAGGCGCGACAAACCGTGGTCGGTACGAGCGGCAGCCAAGATATCACAAGCCACTCAAGAGCAGACCAGTAAAGTAGTTCATGGCGTGACCTAACTGGCTAAAGATAGCTTGGATGAGGCTCACGTGCAGGACTTGCAACACTGGTGGTGGCTGTTGCGTAGATTGGGCCTTCACGCAACAATGGCATTTTTCGTTTCTCGGCTGCCTCGCCCATCACACCTCATATCCCTCAGGTCGCCATGTCTGAAGTCGGGAAGAACTAACTTAGACGCTTCAGGCTCCATACAGCTCGAGGGAAGATCTCGCTAGCCACATTAGGTGTTGCGAAAGACGACTTGGATCTGTGAGACAACAGCAGGGAGTGCAAACCAAACCCACAAAATTGACAGTTGCCCTGGATCAAAAACCCTCTGCACAAGACACGAAGTTAATGGTCCCTCTGAACGAACATACTACACATGCAAAAAGCCTCTTCCGAAGCGATAGGGTACACCATACAGGAGGCGGAGTAGCTATATATATTGACAGCCACTTAATTAGCTGGGAGACTACATGACACCTAAAAAACAGGATTGGCAGAATCCTGTTGATGTTGTTTCCACATAAATGACACGAAAGACTTGATTGGAGGAATCTGCCGACCTCCCTCGTGTCTAAGAACCAGAAAGATAAACTGATTGAGTCAATACTAAAACTGCCACTCCCTGGGTTCAAACAAATACTTTTAGCTGTATACTCCATCACCCCATCTCTTAGTCTCGGCAATCAGGGTACAAATCCTACTGTTTGGTTCTAAAGTTCACTTGGCGCAGCCATTAGAAGCTCTGGGCGTACTAAGCATGTATGCAGTGCCACAAGATGGATTAAGGGCAGAAATTCCCCAAACGTAGATAATTTGTTAACAAATGATCAGCTCCTGGTTGAGGATGTTCACCTCTCTACACCAGTAGGAAGTAGTAACCGTGGATCAGTCTTCTTTAACCTGGTCATAAACAAAACACTGAAGCAGAAAGAGAACAAGTCCTACCTTTGCTACATTAGGGCGAATAACATGCGCATGAGATAGAGCCAACTACATGCTGCATGGCCACGGGAGTGACGGAGACTGGCAAACAGTGCTGTCCTAGACAATATACCCCAATCACGCTACACACCCGAAAGTAGAGGAACATTGGTTAGGGCGGCACTGAATGATTTCTAACGGCGAAAAGGAGGACTTGGCACAAGTGGGAGATTTCTTCGAAAAATTCTGACCGTAGTTCTTACTTGACATTGAGAAACAGATGCAATACCAAAGTTCGAAGTAACAGAAGACGCTTCCAGATAAGGCTAACTGTCGAAATACAAGCGAACCCCAGGCATCTGTTAAGGCTCAAGATAAAAATAAAACCTACGAATCAGGGTTCGTGTTCCGTCAAAGGCCCGAATGGAGAATATCCCATCAACCTTCAGATGGCCGAGATATTCAGCACCAACTTCACCAATCAGTTTAAACAGGTATCCACATGTTCAGAGTGCTACACTAACCCAGTGCCAGCTAACTGCTTCGGGAATATCCGTATTAGGACGTATGCGCGTCACACCTTGAGGTGTACAAAGTGGTCACACCCCCCTACTAAAAATATCCGTAAGTCTCTTGGATCAAATACAGAGCCGAACTACGAAGTGGGTGATAGG